AGAAACAAAAGTGGACCTAATACGCTTCCCTGGATGACTCCACTGGTGATTAGTCTAGGGGACGAGAGACAGTCATTGTACTTTATCATCTGTTTACGTTCTGTTAAGAACGAAGCAAACCATGAGTACAGTGGGTTGTGTATTCCAAAGGACTTTAGTTTGACGAGTAGCCTTTTGAGTGGGACCTTATCAAAGGCTTTCTTAAAGTCTAGGAATAGGACTGATACAAGGAATCCGCTGTCTCGTTTCAGAGTTATGTCATTCAGGTAGTCTACTAGGCATCTATCGCATGATCTGGACCTAAGAAATCCATGCTGGGAGGTCGAGATGAGATTATTAGTTAGTAGATGTTGGACTACAGCCGCCTTAACTACTTTTTCCATCACTCTGGATACCACTGAAGTTATGTTTATAGGCCGGTAATTTTCAACGTTTGCTTCAGGTCCTGTTTCAATTTTGGGAATGATATGTGTAGTTTTCCAGGCAGTAGGGTAACACGCTGAAGAGAGTGATATCGCGAATAGTTTGAGAAGCAAAACACACATATCATCACCTCCACGTCTTAGCATGCTAGATGGAATACCATAAGTGTAGGAGTGTTTCAATGTACTGATTACCTTGGAGATATTTCGTACACTGAATTCTACATTAGTAATTTCACAGGGAGTTACTGGGATTGGTTCTGAATCATTAAATGGTTTTTCGTTAGTTAGTGAGAAACAAAAATGTTCACTAAATAATTCTGTGATAAGTTTGGGATCTTCGTATACTTGTTTGCCTTTAGTGAATATACTCCCTCTCGATTTAGAGCGTTTAAGTTATTATTAAGTTCAACTGCACGTTTTTCCTGTGCTACTGCTTTTTGTTTACTTATTGCCTCTGTTCGGACAAGTATTTCTGTCATCGTTACTAAAGAGGAAAAGTCATTTAAGTTGTGGAATCGAGTACAATGTTTTTGAAGACGTCTTCTTGTACTGACCGGTATATAGAGATCTTTGGAGAACGTAGGTTTACAGTATTCTAAAGGTGCGATGTTGTTGATGATACTTTTGATGTTTTGATAAAATATATTGGTTAATGTGTCGGTATTGTTTGAGGTAAAGAAAGTTCTCCAATCAATGCTTCTTAGGTAATTGTGGAAGTTATTCCAATCAACCTTGCGATAGTTTCTACGAAGTGTTACGGTTTTACTTCTATCGGTTGTGGTTTTTACATTAAGGCTGCATATGACAATGTTATGATCACTACCTGGGAACGTTTTTCCAATATACAAAGTATTGGGGATGAGGCCACTGGTAAAGAATAAGTCCAAGATGTTTTGATGTCTGGTAGGGCTATCGACATACTGAATCCATTGTCCAAGCTCTAGACATTCAATAAATGATTCATAACGTCTCGGCGCTTTGACTGGCAGCCAAGAAATTTCAGGCATATTGAAGTCACCACAAAAGAGCTTGCCTGTGAATGAGAGGGATGATGCTAGTGTGAATACCTCCGATAATACTGCTATTTCATCTATTGATGCGTTAGGTTGACGATAAACACAGCCGAACAGTAAGGTAACGGAATTCGATGGCTTTAATACAATCCACACCGAATCCTTCAGTTTGTTTAGTTCAGGCATATCACATAGCAGTGAGTTTAGGCTAGAGTGAGCGTAAATACGGCATCCTCCACCCCGTCCATCCAATCTATCGCTTCTATATAGAAAATAGTTATCAAGAGATATACTTCGGTCGGAAATATTACTGTTAGTCCATGCTTCAGATATCATAATAAGTGATGGTTGATATATGGATACAAACAGGGCTAAATCCGTCTTTTTGTTGAAGATCGATCGAGCGTTGATAAGACATATATTAAGCAAGTGGCGTACTAAGTTAAGATGGGTGAGGGTATCTCGGATAAAGTCGTCGTAACCCTCGCGGGTGTGAGATGAGTTTGATGTGAGGGATTGGATGTTCTTCATTAGCTCGGTATTTTGATAGCTAGACTTAGTGGGAGATGTATCAAATGAGCTAGTGAAGTTGATTGGGGAGTTTACCCAGGAGGAAAGGGTGGGAGTACTCTCTGATGGAAACTGTACGGAGGAAACAAATTTATGGTTTGCATGTGGTTTGAAATAACCTGGGCTATATGCTTCAACAGAGGTGTCACTAGGGGCCTTATTCCAAAAAATATTGTACAGGCCTACTGTGAAAGTGTATGGTTATTTACAAAATAGTCTTGATGGTTAGACTCGTAGCCCCTGTTATGGCTATTTAGGTTAGCGTGAGAGGGGTGCGCTACGCGTAACTGGGAGGAGTTGCGACTGTTGTTATACACGGGAGCCGTTGTTATGTGATGGGTCGGTACTAAAGGGTGTGAGAAGTTTTCTTTCTGAGAGTAATTGCAGTTGCGATCCTGGGGAATATAGGTAGGGTGTGGAGTGAGAAACCTATTATTACCATTCTTATTTATGGTTTTAGGCTTCAGGGGGTGATTTGGGTGGCCAGTTCTCTGGTAGTTTTCGTTAGTCTGAGTGTAAGAAGGCTTGCTACGCTGAAGCCCACCACCCATTTTGCAACTTAGAGGTGTTGAAGGCAAGTTATACGATAACAGCGGGGAGAACCTGTTCACTGTTCTTGGGATACCTATAGAGCAGTTGGGTTCAATCTTACGTGTTTCCCTATTCGGTATCATGAGTTTTGTCTTCCCACCCTTTATTTTCAGAGCTGGAGTCTTTCGTTGTCTCTGTGAGATGAACTTACCTTCATTCAAGTCTACTTGTGGAATATCTTTAGGAGGACAAATTTTCAAGTGTATAGGTTTAGTTGGATGTGTGTTGTTACACGACCCACATTTTAGTACATTATTGAACGAACAGCTGGGATTAGTCATGTCGTTATGGTTTTTGGTGTCAGTTGGGGTCCGTATCTTATCCAAAGGTTTCTGACCTGTAGACTCATCTAGATCAACAGAGTGGTCAGCCGTATGTGGAGTGGTGTCATGCTTACTGTTCGTGTGTTTTAAACTATTTGCTGTGTTGCAAACTGTCTCTGGCTGATTATTAACTGTAACACTCCCATTCAATTCTATCGCTTCGCGTCTTCTTACACGACGTTGACAGGGCGTAAGGTCTGGAGTGACTTTTATATTCTTGTATGTAATTAGTGAGCTAATATTTTTGCTCAAATTAATAAACTGCTTAGCATCGTTACAACAGCCAAACATAAACAAAAGGGGGCAAGTCGATCTGTCTGACTTTTTTCTAAGGCGGATGACTTTGCAGTTAACGTTCGGCATACCGCATGCTCTAAGGCAAATATCCCTTAACTTAGATAAGTGTGTGCGGTCGGGGAGGTTATACACAACTGCATTGTAGGAGGACATCACTCTTTTCGTCACTTCTTCAGCCACAAACTCCAAAATACACTCAGCTTTAGTGAGTTGCTCAAGATTTCTGTCTGTGTCAAGGCCCCATATATGAGTAAGGGCTGCTAATTGCTCAAGTTTGCCGTTAATTTCTGATAGAGAGTTTTGTATCTGTCGGATGTCATTGCTACATCTATCAGTATTTTGGTGTGTATGAGGTGGACCATTGGACTCTTTAGTTTCTGAAATTTTAGATTTAGACCTTGGTAGCACATACTGTCTAGTAGACTGTGCTGACTTTTCTATGCACGTAGGTATAGTGTCTTGTATGTCCACCAGTCTTACCGTTGACATACTGCGCGTAGAGATAGAGGGGCTGCGACATGGAGAATCTGGTGACGATAGAGACATTTGTGTACAATACACATATTTCTCAGTAGTTAAAGGTTCGATATTGTCAAGCACTGAGTCGTCAGTTGTAGGGGTTACAGATTTGGACCTTTTATTTGGCTTAGAAGTTGGTGAAATTTCTCTTTTATTGGAGTTATTGGACATGACATGAAAATAAGTGAGCACAGTGCTCGTTAAATTAAATATAATATCTGAGTATTAGTTGTTATTAAGTATTAACCTGGTTAATACTAGGATTAGAGACTGTGAGTATATAATGAATTGCAGATCTATTTACGCAATAGGTACAATACAAACTAGTAATTGTCTGTCGAATGAAAATAAGTTTTTTCCTTATTTTTCGGGGTAAGATCTACCCGATGTACAGGATAGGATGATAATCACAGTATAATACACCCTACAAAAGAGCAAGTCGAAGAATCCCTAAACCACGTGAAAAATGTTATCACTTTCAAAGTTCAAAGTCCAAATAAGTGCTCATTTTTGTATCCAGTTTCGAATGTCTTGGATACCTAGTTGATAGTAATGGTTATCTTATTCACGAATTTCTACTTGATCACCATGTTTATGTTTTGTGGATCAAATGGTTATTTAAATCAAGAATCTTCATCATCTGACTATTCATCTTCTAAATTATGATACTCGTAGATGATCATTAGTCATATTTGAAGGTAAAACTGTTATTCTGATGATGTTTTACATACTGAATGAGTTTGAGGTATGCTAGATTTGAAGAATTACTTAAACCTTCGAGAATTTCGTGAATGTTCTGCATTATGCCATTGACGCATTTTTCTGGCTCTTCTAGATTACTTGGACTCACTCATGTGTTAGCACCCTTTAAAGTTCTAACGGAATGTTCTTACAAACCATTGAACTGAGAGTAGCTTGAATATATTTCCGATCAAATTGCCAATTATAAGTTTTGGCTGTTTATGTTGATAATGTTAATCTATCAAAGAAAAATCTTACAACTACACAAGTAACAGAAACAAATCCATGGAGAATTTAGATCATGGAAACAGATTTTTTTCGCAATGCTCCTGTTGCTATGGCATACAATGAAGATCTTTAAAATTGAACAAAAACTACCTTTTTATCAATGGAACTAACGGTAAAATATAAACGTAAACAATTACAACATATTTTTTTTTAACTAAACAGCATTTACAGATTGTCTAATTTGTTTTAAAAAAATTATGAATCCAGAAATTAGTCGTTGAGTAAAATGGAACAGCATTTTGTGTAAAATATACAAAATCTAAAATAATAGTTGGAAAAGATTATGGAAACTGGACAAAACGAAAGTAGAAGTAGGAAAAGTCATTGAGTAAAAAAAATCATGGGGAATTCGGTGAACGATGTGATCTTCGTATACGGAGTATTCTATGACCTAAATGACGGAAAATATTAAGAAAAAGTATGAAGCTCTAATTAAATGTAGGACTAGTTTAAGAAACAAAAACAAAATCATTTATTTAACCTGAAGAAAGAGTTTATTCAATGCTTTGATATCAGATGAAAAAGAACTTCGAATGGACTGTTCAAATTTTTCTATAGAATACGTAAAGTCCTAAAAAATAATTAACACAATATAATAGTAAAACTATGAAGACGCTGACAAAATGCAGAGTCTTTTGGTAGCACTAAGCAACAATGCCAGAATGTTTGGAATGCGCTTCTCTCCCTCTAAATGCAAGTTGTTGCTTCAGGACTGGTCTGCGTCAACACCTGAACTAAGGATAGGGAGTGAAGTAGTAGAACGCGTTGACAACTTCACTTATCTTGGAAGTCTGATCAGCCCTAATGGGTTGGTATCGGACGAAATCTCAGCACCGATTCGAAAAGCTCGATTGGCTTTTGCCAACTTGCGTCACCTATGGCGAAGGCGAGATATCCGTCTATCAATAAAAGGACGAGTATACTGCGCGGCAGTCCGTTCTGTTTTAATTTACGGTAGCGAAACATGGCCATTAAGAGTAGAAGACACTCGTAAGCTATTAGCATTTGACCACAGATGCCCTAGAAATATTGCTGGCGTCTGCTGGGATCACCGGGTAAGTAATAGTGAGGTTAGATGCAGAGTATTAGGGAATGATGGTAAATCAGTTGATGAGGTTATGAATCCTCACCGGCTGAGATGGTTGGGCCACGTGTTACGTATGCCTGAACACCAATTACCACGACGAGCAATGCTATCCGGTATTGGAAATGGTTGGAAGAAAGTTAGGGGCGGCCAAACCAAAACGTGGCATCAGTGCTTGAAGTCACTAACTTCTAGTCTGAGCCATGTTGGTAGATGCAGACTACTTGGTTGGGGTCCGCGTGACTATCGTAACCAATGGTTGGAGACTCTTGGTGACATGGCTCAGAATCGATTACAATGGCGTCGGTGTATACACTCCCTATCTTCCCTTAAACTAAGAGATTAAAATCACTTCATATCTTTCTTTCTACTAACTAATTCTTTCTTCCTATACTATATGCTTATATGCAATCTTTCTCTTATATATTACCACCTTTGACCTAACCACTGCTCTGAATCCGGTGTTCATCTTGTTGTGCTGATGCGGTATGGCAACCTGGACCGATGCACATATGTGCCTGGTCCTACGTTGTAGCTGACTGACTGACTGACTGATGAATTTGTTGGTAAAGTTACAGTCGCAAAGTGAGAAGTTCAGAACCAAACCAAAGCACACTATATCCAACATCTATAGTTCGAATTACAAAATCCTCAGTCAGAAACATCAAAGACAAACAACCCTTTCTACATACATACGAAAAGTGCCTTTTCAATTAAGAAACAGTTGACTGAGGACAACATAAAACTTTAAAGTTAGAAACTCAGATTTCGGAAATACTAACCATACTTATGAAAGGTCAGGGCTTTAAAATAATCGATTATTCACAAACAGACAGAAATAATTTCATACAATTGGTTCTCTTTATGAATTTAAATAGAGCAAGAACAAACATTGATGCAGAATAGTATGAATTCAAAATATTTCGAGGTTTCTCGTCGGCTGTTTACAAACCAAAGATGTGATAGAATTTTTTACATTGAGATAGTGTGAAACAATTGACATAAATGAGTATAAATAAGGGGATTACAATGATAAATATATATATAGGCAATTTCATCTCCTTTGAAAAATATTCATCACAAAAACACTTGGAGTGGTCTATATCTCAATTACCATAGTTTCTGCCCAATGAGTTACAAAAAGGGTATTTTACGAACCCTTTTTGACCGCGCTCGCAAAATTTATTCAAAGGAATGCCTTGATGACGAAATTACTCTCATCACTAATGTTCTACCTGAAAATGCATACCCGTTGAAATTCATCCAGAAATATGCAAAAACCAATCCTCAGACAAAGTATGATGGAGTAGAAAAGAGAACTTGCTTCTTACATTTACGTTTTAAAGGAGATGAAATTGCCGGATTAATTAATCACAGATTAAATTCTGCATTGAAAGTGGCCTACCCAGCAGCAAAACTTACGGCAGATCGAATGCTATCGATCGATAGCATTCGATCTGCAATAATAAGGACTAGACAAGCATGAGATTGATCACCACCCAGTGATCAATCAATTGTGACTACTCTTCGTTTCGCTGAAGCGATTGCGATAAAAAAACTTAAACCGGATTTATGCATTGAAAAAGAGACTTGAACAAAATTATCACTACCCTGGTAACCCCCTTTTTTGTGTGTGTTTTGGTTATTTGGGTTATTTTATTCATTTATTTTAAAATATTTATACTCCTCCCCTATTACATAATTCTTAAACCACATTATTATTCACACATTTCCACCACCTGATCCTTTTAAATTATCTTAACTTTTCGAATTCTCACAGGTTGAAATCATGAGTCAGTTGAAGCTAGACCACCATTGAAAACCTGGAAGCACTGGACGGCCGTTTCGTCCTGGTATGGGACTCCTCAGCAGTGAGCATCCATTTAATTATTATCTATTTAATTATTATTACATAATCTACCTTATCATTATTCAATTCCATTAATCTCTCTAATTATCACACAATTTATGAACTTCATTAAACTATTATACCACCCAACTTAGTGATCCGCATACACATATATGAAAAAGAAATTAATCAAGTTCTGAACTTAGTATCAACAACGAGAAAACTTAAACCCTTACACAATTATACACTTTTACTGCATACCAAAAATAATTCAAAATGAAAATACAGGGTTTAAGATTTTGGATACCTTAACAAATGTGTTAAGCAATTTTGTGAGTTAAAATCATGTTGACTATATGAGTTTAGTATTAGATTGTAGATAAGATCTAAAAGAATTTAACTTACAACACAAATAATCGGAATGTGCTGAATCTTCTCACCCATTTATGGAGTGATCGACACCCAATAAAACAGGCCATTGTGAGCAGGGTAAGACTCCAGTAGCGTGTAATTCGCATTCCAGTAACCATCTGTTGTAAAGCGACTTGATGCATCCTTCAGAAGTTCGTTACTGTGTAAAAAAGTACACATAAAAAAAACAATAGGGAAAATGCCCTATGACTGCAGTTACAAAGATCATGATACTCCTAGAAAAGTACTCGGAATAAGTCAAAAATTGGTGGTTTAAGTACATGTTTTTAAAGAATGTATTATTTATTAAAGTCTCAGTAGGTGGATAATGTGACTAACATGCAGTAGTTGTGATGCGAAGATGGTACGTAATTATTAGAATGGATACGTATTTGTCAAAGTTTAAGCTTTATACAACAAATCTACTTTGCAGGGCCAATAGCTATTCATAACGGCAGTCATTTGATTCGATTTTATAAACGTTTATGAAACAGTATGTGAAACGTATCGTAATGATTACAATAACCACCGTTCATGGATCGAAAACAGATTTCTCAGATTATTGCCTGGTAAAAATTGTAAGTGTGGCTTGTTTGTGAATAACCAATGCTGATTTACTAACTTAGATTTTACACGATTAGTTGAAATTGTTCACAATCACATTCTAATAGAACTTCATAAAATAAATATTGATGTAATGTAATGATATTAAAATCCTAAATAATAAGACAAGGCACTCCACAGTTACAGAAGTAATAAATCAGACAATGAACATTAGATGCCTAAGAGGGAAAGATTTACTTTACAAAAACCTGCTTTCATTTTGTAAACTTACTACCTATTTAGTAAGTTATCTCGTAATCCAATTGGGTGATAGGAAGAAATAGACATATCTAGACTCAGGCAAAGGTGCAGTACTTTATAGGTAACGGAGTTAAGCATCTATTCAGCATATACAGGTACAGTACAGCGAACTTATTATCTGGTTACATGAAATCTTTTTGACGGTATTTAAGGTATGGGTACCAAAAAAATTAGGTAATAAGTTAGTAGTTATTACCTTTAAAGACGTAGCAGTAGCATAAGTGAGATAACGTGAAGTGATACAAAGTTCACTTTTCTGTTCACAATGTTTTTCGTTAATTTAAAATATGTCGTTGGGAATTGTAGTTAGTAACTAAAACACCTGCGTATCATTACTCACTAGGCTACCTCCTTAGCCACAGTATAAACATGAAAGGTGATCTCTAAATGGAGAATGGAAGTACAGTTTTCATGACGAATTTTTATATTTGATAACATTTCATTTTGCCAGAAAACATACTGTTTTTACAGAATCCGTCCACTGGAACCTTGTGTGGTGATCCTATTATATGCAGCGACTGAGTTTCAAAAAAGTCCTGTTGACATAATTGTTCTTTAATTCGATCAAATATAACGTGCACAAAAGCCATCCATTTCATTCCACTAGTTGATGAGTCCAGTGATGCCTGAGATTACAAGCACGTTTACAAATTTGAAAGCATATGTGATTATATCTACCCAGCTTATCAGTAATTCGACAATAATAACAAAAACCGTAAAACCAAAGAATATCACCGAGTGTGAAACACATAAATGAAAACTACTTATTTGCACAAAAATGTTAGACATTTCACGAAATTATTTTTCTACATTAGCATAAGGATTCAAATAATCGAATAAGACCCTTGAATTTTGAGTATTCCATCAAAAAAAGGATATTTTCACACGAATAGAATGAAAGAGGTAAAAATGTAATTTTGAAATTCACAACGGATATTCTATGTTGAACCCTTACAATATTACACAGTGAATAGTCCCGCTTATGAATATTAGATTTGTTTCAATTTTTCAGTACATTTTAAAACAGCAACGTTTACCGTTACTCCACAATGATATAATGAATAGCAGGAACCGGTTACCAAAATAAGACTCTTTACAAGTTACCAATTTCATTCTATTTAAAATGCCCTACGTAATAAACCAGAATCAACGATCACTAGCTACAATCAAAGGAATCGGTGAATAACCAATGAGAATCCACAAAATTCACTGCGGAAAACACAAAAGCGATGGGTTGTAGTCACTAATTATACAGAGGTTAGTGTGCCGAAAAACATTTGTCATTCAGGTTGGCCGTATTTAACTACTTTTATCGAACTTCCATCGCAGAAACACTAACCAACGCACTATTCAGTTAGCACCAAACGTTAGCATTTAAAATACGAAGTATATTATGTGTAGTTCATAATTTTCTGTGACGAATAATCAGATGATATTAGACTTTCTAGCAGGATATTGCTAATATACAGAGAGTTCTGTAATAATAGTGATTCAGGTATTAATGAAACTGGAAATGGACCTGATATTGGGAAGATAAATGGTCTTTTCGAAATGACTTGTGAGGCCACTTAGCAGGTCACATAGCTGGGGAGCAGTCACTAAATATAGTCGTCGTTGTCAGCTATAATCTATCAATAGTCTGAAACACTTAGTTGGTCGATCTACAAACACTGACATTTATGTATGGAGACGAGCACACGAAGAAATAAAATAGACTGGTTTATACATGAATATGGTAGGTATTCGATGATAAATTCAATTACTTCTGAATACTCATTTGGGACTAATATTACTATCAATACTGTGCGATACTTAATAGATTATTTTAAATATCTTAAATAAAAAACAATAATGAGCAAGTGTATATTACAAAAACGAATTCTTAAGTATGAGGATTGGGAAAGACATACCGTTTAGGATTGACCGGATTACTTGAGTCTTTCTTATGACTAATCATTCTGTAACGAGCGATTTCTTCAGCGTAACGCATAACGCTGTAATTATGATAGACTACTCTAGCGTATAAATCGTCATCTTCTCCACCCCATCCAAAATACATATTTGAAAATCCACCAACCTTTTCAAACTGTTTCTTGGTGAACGCCACAGCTCCGCCAAAAATCGTAAGATAAGGAAGACTAAAAAATAATAAATTCATGTGAATAAAGTTATTTAGCAAAAATTTTGGGTAGCTTTATTGAGAAAAAAAAACAAACACACCACGCATAAACATGTTTGATTCTTGTTTGTCATGAAAAGGCATCCGTCCAGTTACCCCCAAATTATGACAGTAGTAAAATAGATCACAATTTTCCTAACTCTTGAAAATTAGAAGTTTCAGGATTTGGTTACAAAATACGAAAAGACTCTACAACTTGGATTCAGTTCTCTGTAATGACAGTTGTCTACCATAATGCAGTTGCTTCGAAGTAATAGAGTAGTTTATATAGTCACTAAAATTGATACCGCATTGACAAGGTAATATGGTGCATCGATAAATCTATGTATGGAATTTAAGTCCAGCGGTAAACCGTCTGGTACTTGTGTTTTTTTTTAGAAATATACGTATTTCAACTTATTAAATTAATTTACACTTCATTTTTAAGGAATCACTACTTTTATGCTTGTTCATACTATCATTTTTATACATGCTGGATGGTCCTTATTGTTAGATTATTATTTATGCTAAAATAATGGTCGACAGAACTTACAAGTGTGAATCTGAGTTGAAGTATTGGAATCTATCCATGAATGCATTTACAATATGAAGCTCACAGCTGAAATATAGATGGTTGGTGAACTGCATTCTAGTTAGGGTCTTAAACAGGTGGGTCCCAAAAATTCACCGTAACTAGGTAGAAAGCTGATAATTCCTTGAGTAAAGTCTAACGATGTAAAAGTTATATAAATACCAAGTTTATTTGGAAGTTGGTTAGAAATATAAACTGTCCTAATTCATACGATATGACTTCCTCGACTAAAGTATTGAATCAACTTTCTTATTTATTGAAGAATGTTACCAACTGAACAAATTCAAAATTTAAAAGTCTAGGAGTTTAAATATAAGCACTGACCGGTAGTTAAACTTGTCCACAGCAACAGATAGGTGTCTCGGTTGGTTGGCACAACGATATGAATTTCGATCGTCTTCAGGCAATAAATCCACATCATGAAATATGAAGCAGTCGAAATTTGTAACCCGTTTCGACTCGATAAACCCAGCATTCAGAAGAAGGGCACGATTGAAATGAGTTTCACCGTCCTAAACATGTATTTATAAGTAGAAAATGAAGACTTTAGCAATACTACAACCTTGGTTATTTCATGATTAATCTCCACAATGGAAACACATACGTAAACAGCCTAGAGTGAAAAATGGTAGTCTTTATTGTTACTTCGCTTGAATACCGAAAAACGTCTATTGGGAGTGAGGTGAACCATAAATAAAGAAACTCCATTATTGTTTGAACGCTAAATAAGGAAGATGCTGTTGATTCAAATACTGCTACAACACTCTGTTGGTAAGAAATTGATTTTGTTGCAATCTATAATCATTCATGTCAAACAAATGACCTAGTATATATTAAAACTCTGCTTTCAGTAACAATGTACTATTTTAGTGCATGTTTCGTAAATACCACGGACGTCAATCAACAGGATTAACCTATCAACACAGTTTGGGGTTAGTAAAAGTAATATATTACTATACCTATTAACAGCCATAGAGTATAATATCTTTACGAAAAAAACCACAATCCTGTGGGAACAGAAAATGGACCGTAACCCAAGAAAAAGGACATAAGATGAGAATTTACCAAACACAACACGAAAACATCTTTGTTACCGGAACCTTAAATGTGGGTGTTGAGAATGGTCATCTTGCCTTTTCTCATCAATTTTAATGTACATTTACAGAAACTATGGTCCAACCGATGTCAAAACCCACTTTTGGAGCAAGAAGCACAAATTTTCCAGGTTCATGGCTTGGTAGTTACTCTTGAATGTTAACCACTAGGTAGTAAGTGTAATCCCTGCTCCAGCTACTTCGGTCTAGGCAACTGAGTATTTCCATTAGACCTGACAGAAATGGCTTCAAGTACAAGGAAATGAACCCAAAGATAATGAATAACATTGGATGGACTTTGTAAATGCTCTTAAAATATGTAGTATATACACTAACCGTGACCTTTAGTGTGGAGTTCCAAATTGAGGCAATATATGAGCAAAATGATTCAAAAGTACATTACCATGATAACAGTGGTTGAAAAATATAGTTGAAAGTTCTGAAAAGGGTTCAAAAGACAACTGAAATCATATCTAAAAATAATAACTAACTTGATTTATAACGAAAATGGTATACATAAGCAGTTGGTTACGCAGAAAAGCATGCATATGTCCTAAAAACATACGCAAATGAATATCACGATTTCGGTACGGGACAATAACAGCCAGCTTTTCAGTTGGATCACATACATTTGGACGCCACAATCCGACGTATTTCTCCAATGAATCAGTGTAATTGTGGGAACTAATAGATCCATTGTGGATCACCACAGGGTTTAAACTGGGTTGTGAATAGTTGCCACCTTTTGAAAGGATAATTTTACGTTGAGAGGGTGATGATGTATATTTCTCCATTAAGGAATCCCAAGTAGGTACATTAGTCTCGATTTTTAAACGCCCAACTAGTGATAACAAAAGGATGGATCGTTGTTAATCATGCAAAAAGCTGAGGTGACAAACAAATTAGAACAAAAACGTGGCAAAGTAAACACTCATTCCTTGTTAAATAACAGGGAACAACAACACTGACACTGATGGAGAGAACAACTAGATATTTCAAATAAGCAATAAGACCAATCAAATTCAGCAAATAGTAGATAAATATAAACGATTTTTGGACATCTCACAGCCTCAGTTGAAACTCAGAAAATCATTAAATCGGACAGCAAGATCACATTGGGAGTATGCGATGCATAATGATACAAGACACTAGATACATATTTAAGTTGATAGACAACGCAAATCACTCTCAACTGAGTACTGAAAATATAGAGGGAGACGATCAAAACCGATAGTTAAAGCATACATTAAATTGGTAGGATATCCTCTTTACCTTAAAGGATATTACATCTGGTACCGAAGCCACTAGTTCGCCCAAGTGGCCAAAAGCTAGACAACGTAGAAACTTAAGAAAGTCTAACGGTTTAAGGTAGCATATACATAGATACGACAGAAAGGGATTCGATAGATAATAAAATTAATCGATGAAGACCAATAATTCGATTCTAATATTTGAGATTTGTTTCTTTCCCTCTAAATGCTGCCCCATTACTAGTCCGCTTCAACTTCTCAACTAATGATAAGGAATGAATTAATTGAGCACGTCAACCACTGAACTTATCATATGAGTTTCATTAGCTTTGGTGGGTTGGTATCTGACGAAATCTCAGAACGGATCCAAAGAGCTCCATTGGTGATTGCCACTTGATCCATAGACGATATGTTCGTTAATCTACCAAAGGGTGAAGATACTGTGCAACAGTCCGCTCAATTCTACTTAATAGCTGTGAGATGTGACCTTTGAAACAGAGGATATTCGTAGGTTACCAGTATTTAATCCTACATCCCTTCGAAGCATTGCTCATGTACTTTGTGATGTTAGGCACAAAGTACTAAGCAAGGATGGCAAGTTGGTTAACTAGCTTGCAAATATTCGTCGACTGAGACAGTTGGAACATATATTATGTATGATTAGCCACCTTCTGCCAACATTTTGACGATGATTGGTGTAGGGGTAGGTTGGAAGAAAGCTAAGGACTGGTATCGAAGTGTGGGATCGGTCCACGAAGACATCGACTAATGAACTGAGTCTTACAGGTAGGTGCAGACTACTTGGTCAGGGTCCGCGTGATTATCATAACCAACTGTTAGAGAATTGAGTCCTATCTTTTTCTATCAATTCTAATATTGTTACCATTTATACTATAGCACACCGACATGCTGATGTAGTGACAACTTGAACCGATGTACTCATGTGCCAGGTTTTACGTTCTGTATGACTGATGAACTGGTTTTAGAGCTAATGTTTTCGCAGTCATAGTATAAAAAGTTTCAAGCTCTCTAAGGGAGGTCAACAAACTGTAGCTATGATTAGAATAAAACAATTCCAAACTTGTAAGCTTGCTGTAAAATAAAATATAAGGAAAATTAGGGTCAAACTTACTAGCGTGAGGATTTTCTTTTGGGCACTCTTGTTGTTCCGAAACAACCTAGAAAGTATAAAAACCTACTATAAGGACTTAGAACGTATCGGGATTTCGAACTGGAGTACTTTGTTAGCACTAACAAAATAACAATTCAAAGTCTAGTAAACCTTATGTGAAAGATAATTGTAATTACTTGAAAACATGATGAAGCCAGTTTACCTAACTATCTCAAACATATGCTATTAATAAATAAACATTATTACAACACGCATTAAAGCCAATCTACATTGGTAACTTCTGCTGCGTAAAAGCTTACCGACCTAATTGATACAATTTTATGAGGTTTATATGTCAAGTTAGAAAGTACATTTACAAACACCAATACTTACAAAATTTCCCAAATCTGTCACATTATATGGGAGTTTACGCAAAAAGTTCGGGATATTTTGAGAACGGGAGATATGTACATATAAAAATATTGATCCCAGGAGGAATAAGAAAATTGAATAACCGAAGCAAGTTCGTTGTGATATAAATGTTTGCATCATTTTGAAGTACAACTTTACTCCATTACCACCAATGGCTTATGATTTCTTCACTAAAGATTCTGCTCCACTTTTATTCAAAATGAGATTTTGTTTTTGGTTCACAACGAGAATTCTTGAAAAATAAGGAATAATAAAAATACGAGAAAAAAGTGGTATAATATATAAAATAATGTAACGCCACCGAGGTTAACAAAAAACCTCTTTTGCATTTTTTGGTTAGCCAAACAAAGAAAAATCTAGTTGGCAATGATATAATTAAAAACCACAGGACTGATATCATGGTAAGTCTAACAGGTACGTAAACACACACGTTGCAATAGTATCTCGGGTAGAAATCGTAAAAGGATGTGATACCTAATGATCCTTCTGAGCAAACAAAATTCCAACTGTAATATCTTTCTATTTTAGAAGTAGTCGAAAGAAACATAGTTCTTTCTTCGGATAACTGTTTTTTTAATAAATATTGTGAAAAACGACATTCAAACCATGCATGTTTTCCTTTGACTTATGTGGAAAAACTGAGGTTTTCAACCGGGTTATATTTTATAATCACCACCACTCGACCCCGCTCTATAACATATATTTATCTAAAGTCTCAAACCAAGCGTGAAAAAATACCTAAAACTATGCAGTCATTTTATTATCTTAGGAGCTTAGACTGTAGAAATGACTAACGTTGCTCTCGATCTTGCTCAAATAATTGCTTCTTTTACGACGTTTAGGTGGTGGCTTAGTTTTAAAGGGATCTGACTTCGGGCGTACAAGCGTTTAGGACATTCTATGGATTCCTCAACAATGTTTTCTTCGTACAACTTTCTAGACTTACGGAGGGTCGAGGCACAGGTCATATAAAAACAGAATTAGAAGGAGAGACATTCTGTTTACTGTAATTGAGTGGTAATAAATTTTCTCAGCTAATTAAATGAAAGATATCCCGGTCAACAAGGGCAATTGATGTTTTCCACGTAGCATAGCATGAAGCAGTTTTCATGATGGAGCTTCATTTTAATCGCCAGCCAATGAGTGAAAATTATGACGTCAAAAATAATGGGAAGTTAGATTAACGCATATCAAGTAGTCACAATGATCTGGATGTCTAAAACCAACCACAGACATCCAAACAGGGGAGAATAAGAACTGACTAAAGCACAAACACGTATAAACGATTAGAACGCCAAGACAATTCCCAAACCCCATAAATAAATTTGTCCTCTAGCACTGTCCAGCCTTCTTTTTCGCGTTTTTTACTAGAAATATGTTGACTTAAAGCTTATCACTAAAACCCAATTTGGTCAGATAGTTTTAGTTGATACTAGGATTTAGACAAGATTTAACTCAAATCATAACTTCACAGAGAGGGGTTAAAAATTAAATGTAACTAACGGCGGGAATCACTGACTATTTCGTCCTAAATATACCTTAGCAAATGTACATAGGCAGTAACGGAGAAAATTTTCAACCGGAGGCACATAAATACTTAGCAAGGACAATCAACATTCAATACCATTGTACAATTTATGGTCCAATGATTCAGAATCAGATTTGTATAGTAAAGACAGAAGGCCTACAGCCTTTGTTATTCTTTTTGGTTTACCTCTGTGAGTGCCTAATCTTTTCTGAATGAGTCAACTGTATATGAAGACACCACTGCTTTGGGCAACAGGTTCCAAGAATTGATGACCAGTATGCCACAGGTATTTTATTCGCTCCAGGCTTTTCTACTCGCCTGCTATGTTCTCTGTGATGTACCGATTTAGTGGGGAGAAAAAGAGGGGATATATCAGGTCCCAAATCATTTCTTGGTATTCTACACATCAAAATAAGATAAACTCTTGATCTGCGATAGGACAGAGCAGTTTCAGTTTCAGTTTGGAAAGGACAGGAGGCTCGATCACCTGTGGTAGTCCTCGTAACGACGGTCTCTCAGTTAATTCAACTTTCTTTTGAAAGAGTCGATTGATGGAGCCTTAACCACGTGCCGAGGTAATGAATTCCACTCGTTGATGATTCGAGGGTGAAGGATGTGACAAAGGTATTCATTGTTTGACAACGCTTCTACCAGTAACACCTTCTAATATGATTCGTTCCCACCGAGAGAAATCAAAGGACAGAGTCGAGGAGATCAGAAGAGTGTATTTGGCGATTATCAATATATCGGAATTCTCTGATCTAATCTGGCTAGCGATTGCGGTTGATGTTGAGCACGGCGTTGCCACACGTGATCTGGTGCGGATGCCTGACCGAGCGCCTTCAGCTAGATGAGTCCACCAAAACATATGGTCAGCATCCAATGTCGAAAACTTAGAGCTATTTATTTTGGGGATTTATTTACAGCTACAGATCACTCCCCCACCTAGTGGGGCAGTGACGACCCTAAGACGTGGCCAGCCAGAAGTTTAAAGCCAACGAGTTTCTCATTGGCAAACACTCTTCTGATAGCTTACTAAGTGTAGCAGCGTCTGATCGTCTTTCCTTACTATATGGGACCGAGGTACAACATAGTAAAAAAAGAAAAAGTACAATCAAAACTTCGGCTCCTCGTAAACTGCATCGTTCTTTTCCAGCCATCCTGGAAAAGAAAAAAGAAAGTGTAAGTGCATGTCGAAATACACTCGCATGTGCGTAAAAACACAATGTCGGCGCAAAAAATGGTAAATAAACTCGTGCACACGTAATAGCGTTAAAAAATAATTTTTTTTGTTTTTTGTTTTTTTTTAAATAAAAATATAAGTATATAGGCGTATTAAAATTTTTTAATATTATATATCGTAAAAAGAAAAATCGAGATTATATAAAATGTCGAGTAGTGCCTTACTTGCAGTAGTCGTTTAAATGTTCTGGAAATCTTACTGTTCTTCCAGAACGCGTCGTTTTAGGTTTGTTTCCAGATACATTCGGAGTATCATCGTTAGTGTTGGTTGTCGGTTGGGGAATTTAGTGTAGGAGTCGTGTTGTGCGATTGTACCGAAGGAAAATCGACGTGAATAGGATTTCCTTCTAAATACGCTGCTTTTAAGCGATCGATGCTGATGCTATCGTTTCTTCCGTTCTTATCGACTATATAGTACTTAGATTCACGTTGAAGAACTTTGAAGGGTCCTTCGTATGCTGATTCGAATGGTCGTCGATGCGAGTCTCGACGAACGAAAACGTGTGTACTATATCGTAAGTCAGGTTGAACGAAAACATCGGTTGATTGTGGTCGAGTGGAAGCAGGTTTAACTGAACGCATTGCGTTTGTAAGCCTGTTCGTGTAGGAGGTTAGATCCATGTTCATTGAAGAGGACGAAGGATCCACGAATTCTCCTGGAAGTCGAAGTGTCGTTCCATAAACGAGTTGAGCCGCAGTGTATCCAATGTCAGCTTTCACTGCATTGCGGATACCTAGTAAGACGAGTGGAAGAGCGTCCGTCCACTGTGAAACGTTTGCAGCTGATAGTGAAGCTTTTAGTTGTCGGTGAAAACGTTCTACCAACCCGTTTGCTTGTGGGTGGTAGGCAGTCGTTCGGAAGCGAGTGATTCCTAAAAGTGTGGTCAGACGACGGAAAAGATCAGATTCAAACTGACGTCCGCGGTCTGTAGTGATGGTTGAAGGGCAGCCGAAGTTTGCTACCCATCGTTCGACGAAGGTGCGGGCCACTGTTTCAGCAGTGATGTCCTTGATAGGTACTGCTTCTGGCCATCGAGTGAAACGGTCTACGCAGGTTAAGAGGTAAGAGTATCCATTTGAATCTGGTAAAGGTCCTACCAAATCCAGATGAACATGGTCGAAACGAGCATCGGGAGTTTTAAACGAGCCTAAGGGACATTTATTGTGTCTGATAACCTTAGATTTTTGGCAGCTTACACAGGAGCGTGCCCACTCCCTCACGTCTTTATTCATTCCAGGCCAGCAAAACCTTTCTGCTATAAGCTTGATGGTTGCACGAACACCTGGATGAGAAAGTTTGTGCAATGTATTGAAGACATTGCGTCGATAATGTTTCGGCACGATTGGGCGATCCCTACCTGTAGATGTGTCACAAAGTAAGGTTTCCTTACCTGTTCCCATCTGTTTGATGCGTAGTTTAAGTGTTGTGGACGATAACTCGTGCTGAAGATCACTGTCTTCTTTTTGAAGCTCGGCGAGTTTCAGGAGGTCGATTCCTTGGAAACTGACCAAGGAAGTTATGCGAGATAAGGCGTCTGCAACTACATTGTTTGCTCCAGAGATGTGTTGAATATCTGAAGTAAACTGCGAAATGTAGTCCAGTTGTCGAGACTCACGGGGAGAGTACTTGTCTGAAGGAGAGCTTAACGAGAAAGTGAGCGGTTTATGGTCCGTGAAAAGAGTGAATCCACGGCCTTCCATATAGTGTTGAAAATGTCGTACAACACAATACATAGCTAGGAGTTCCCTACCGAATGTGCTGTACCTTGATTCGGTGTCTAGCAATCTTCTAGAGAAAAATGCCAAGGGCTGCCAGGAGTTGTTAACCCATATTTGTAAGACGCCTACGATTGCCGAGTCTGATGCGTCTACTGCGATAATAATTGGTGCTTCGGTGTCCTGATGTGCGAGCATTGTTGCTTTAGCGATCAGTTCCTTAACTGTGGAGAATGTTTTTCGTGCGGTGTCGTCCAAATTAATGGATTTCGCACTTCCACGAAGTTGGTCGGTCAGAGGTTTCATAAGTAATGCGCATTTCGGTATGAAACGTCTATAGAAACTTACCAGGCCGTTAAACGTGCGGTATGTCGTCAGTAGCCATAGGGATTTGGTTATACGCTTTAACCAAGTCGATTTTCGAAAAGACAGTTGTACCTTTCAAGGTAGCTGTCAAATCGTGAATGTGAGGCAACGGGTAACGATCGGGAATGGTTTTCGCGTTCAATCGCCGATAGTCACCAGTTGGACGCCAATCGTTGCTGTCCTTTTTAGGGACCATGTGCAACGGAGATGCATATGGGCTACTTGACGGTCGTATGATCCCTAAGTCTATCATGTGATCGAATTCGTTTTTCGCTAACCTTAGTTTTTCAGGAGCTAGACGTCGTGCTTTAGAAAATACAGGTGGTCCTGTAGTCGTGATGTGATGTGTAACATTTCTGGTTACACACGGTAGTTTCGATTGAGTTTGTTGTATCCCAGGGTACCTATCGAGTAGTGGTTGATAGAATGGGTCTATCGTGTGCTTAATTGTGACTGGGGATACTCTACAACCAGAAAAGGAAGTTACGCAAACGGATAAATTAGTGTTTCCGTCTACTAGCCTCCGTTTGCGCGTATCGATGATTAGATCATGGTGTTGTAGAAGGTCCATATCAATGATTGGCATAGAAACATCTGCAACAACGAAAATCCAGTGAATGGGTTTGCGTAAACCCACGTTAAGGTAAACGTACCTTTTGCCATACGTAGCGATCGGTTTTCCGTTTGCCGCCTGTAAGTTTAGAGCCGATTCTTGAAGCCGATCGTTGGGATTCGCTGCGAGAACGCTAACTTCTGCGCCAGTGTCGACGAGGTAGCGAACTCTCGTTGTCACATCTGTGACGTACAACAGACGGCTATGTTCGCCGGCTACGGTTGCCGTTAACGCGTGCCGGCTTGGAAGTTTCCCGAGTTGTTTTTCGAGTCACTCGGTTTCGTGTTGGGAAAATTGCAGGGTTTTCTGCAATTTCTGGAAAACATTCCATACTGGTTATGATACCAGCACCAGTCGGAGTTATCTGTCTCTCGTGGTCTAGAGACAGATCGCTTACGATAAATGCTTCTACGTGGTGTGCGCGATCTCTTACGGTCGGTACGAAGACTAAGATAACGCGTGAGTGTGTGACATAAGTCGTTTATATCATTCTGAGTCGTTTGAGGTTTTTCTTTGACTGAAAATACCTCGGTAGTAGATTTCGTAATTTCTAAAATGCGGTCGGCAGATGCAGCTAGTTCGTCTAAGGCGTTGTTCTGGAACGAGACCAGAACTGCTTGCACCTGTTGGGGAAGTTTTGACAAGAAGAGTTGTTTGAATAGACTTTCGTCGAAAGTTCGTGGGCCTATAACCTCTCTTATCCGTTGCAACATGTCCGTCGCAGAACCGTGTTGCAGGTCGATGTTATTGAAGAGTTGATCTAACCTTTGTCGATCGGTTAGGTCTCCTCGTTTAAGAATCGAGCGTTTTAAGATTTCGTAAGGATCGGAAACATCACTAGTAAACATACTAGGTGTTACGTACCTGTTGAATTCGCGCGGTAGTGCCTTGACTACTGCGAGGAATTGTGCACGTGTGTCGATCACACCGTGCTCGGAGAAGTCGGCCTCTGCGTAGCAAGACCAGGCTTCGATGTTGTCGGGCCAGAAAGGCATCAGTTGAAACGAAGGTGGGGACAAGGTCTTAAGCTTGAGTACTTTTGGTGTTTGTTCAGTCATGATGAAATATGAAGTACGATAATCAACGAGGGGAAAATATATATATATCCAAGAAAAAACACGAAAAAAA